TACATACATACATACATACATACATACATACATACATACATACATACATACATACATACATACATACATACATACATACATACATACATACATACATACATACATACATACATACATACATACATACATACATACATACATACATACATACATACATACATACATACATACATACATACATACATACATACATACATACATACATACATACATACAAGTACTACCATACTAGGATACCATACTAAGGTACCATACTACTACCGTACTACCTACATACTCTATCACCTACGAGAAACCAGCGTAAATCACGATTATGATCACGATCTGACAAATCTACAGTAGTATAGATACATTAGCATAAAACGTCTCGTGGTAGACATTTTAACGGCTCGTTGGCATGGTAATAACTTGTTGTCATGGTTACGCGTACATGCAGGTGGCGGCGACCGACCACGACTCGGAAGCTTACGGTGACGTCATGTACGCCATAGTGCACGTGTCGGCGGCAGCAACCGACAAGTTCTCCATCAACCCGCAGAGTGGCCTTATACAGGTGCTGCCATCTGCCGTGATGCAGCGTGGCGCCACCTACAGCATAACGGTACAGGCTGCGGACGGTGCGCAGGGTGCGATGCAGAGGTGAGTATATACGGTCTCTGTTCTTATTATGATTTATTGTGATCTCCTGCATATATATATATATCTTTTTATATTCTAAGAACGTTTTTTATTATCTCTTGTGAGTTTTTGTGATCATTAACTTCTTCTTGTAATTTTTTTACGATTTTGAATAATCGCTTAATTACCACGTTGTATAGCTTGTAACGATTTCTCATAATCGCTTACGACTTCTCGTGAGCTCTTTCTCGACTTTCCGTGATCGGTGGCGACCTCTCGTGGCTTCCTACAGGGTGTCGCAGGCGATCGTAGAAGTGACGGTGCAAGCGTCGGCCGCACAAAGTGCACCTTACTTTGAAATTGTCAACTACACCGTGGCGGTCAGCGAAGGAACACCTGTTGGTACGCCGCTAGTCAAATTACAGGTGAGTGACCATATTGCAGATAAGTGGCCTGGCTATAGGTGAGTGGCCAGGCTAAAGATAAGTGGCCAGGTTATAGGTGAATGGCCAGGCTACAGTTAAAAATTGGATTAGATGACAGGTGAGAAGGTGATTAGATTACAGGTGAGAAGGTGATTAGATTACAGGTGAAAATGTGATTAGATTACAGGTGGGAATGTGATTAGATTATAGGTGAGAAGATTATTAGATTACAGGTGAGAATGTGATTAGATTACAGGTGAGAATGTGATTAGGTTACAGGTGAGATTACAGGTGAGAAGGTGATTAGATTACATGTGAGAAGGTGATTAGATTACAGGTGAGAAAGTGATTAGATTACAAGTGAGAAGGTGATTAGATTACAGGTGAAAAGGTGATTAGATTACAGGTGAGAAGGTTATTAGATTACAGGTGAGAATGTGATTAGATTACAAGTGAGAAGGTTATTAGATTACAGGTGAAAAGGTAATTAGATTACAGATGAGAATGTGATTAGATTACAGGTGAGAATGTGATTAGATTACAAGTGAGAAGGTGATTAGATTACAGGTGAAAAGGTGATTAGATTACAGGTGAGAAGGTGATTAGATTACAGGTGAGAAGGTGATTAGATTATAGGTGAGAAGGTGATTAGATTACAGGTGAGAAGGTAATTTGATTACAGGTGAGAAGGTGATTAGATTACAGGTGAGAATGTGATTAGATTACAAGTGAGAAGGTGATTAGATTACAGGTGAAAAGGTGATTAGATTACAGGTGAGAAGGTGATTAGATTACAGGTGAGAATGTGATTAGATTACAAGTGAGAAGGTGATTAGATTACAGGTGAAAAGGTAATTAGATTACAGCTGAGAATGTGATTAGATTATAGGTGAGAAGATGATTAGCTTACAGGTGAGAATGTGATTAGATTACAGGTGAGAATGTGATTAGGTTACAGGTGAGCAGGTGAGATTACAGGTGAGAAGGTGATTAGATTACAGGTGAGTAGGTGATTAGATTACAGGTGAGAATGTGATTAGAATACAGGTGAGTAGGTGATTAGATTACAGGTGAGAATGTGATTAGAATACAGGTGAGAAGGTGATTAGATTACAGGTGAGAAGGTGATTATATTACAGGTAAGAAGGTGATTAGATTACAGGTGAGAAGGTGATTATATGTGATATAATTATCATCATCATCATCATCATCGTCGTCGTCGTCATCATCATCATCATCGTCGTCATCATCATCATCATCATCATCATCCTCCTCCTCCTCATTATTGGCGATTAGTAGTTGCTACATAAAATCTTCTTTCTATAATGGCGACATACATTACGTCATCGTGACGTCCGTTTGATCATGATTGCAGGCGAGAGACCTAGATGGCGACACCGTCTCGTACGAGATTTACCCGCCAAATACGGACTTCGCCGTCGATGCCGACACGGGCGTCGTCACTATACAGCGCCCCCTAGATTACGAGGAGCTATCGGTGCGCCACCTGTCGGTTAGGGCCAACGACAGAAAGACAATGCCGGTAAGCTGAGTGTGGCACTACATGCTGCGCATGCGCCCTAGACCCCCGTCGCGAATGTGATCACAGTACGATAATACTTTAATTGCTAGGACGCATGTCTGCATATACAAGTCGGTGGTACATTTCATCCTAGATAAAGAATAGCAAAAAAAGAGAAGATAATGAATATAGAAGAAGAAGCTTGCTAAGGTGTGGGAATGGGAGAGAGACACTTGCGGAATAGTGACAGCGAATTGTTAGCTAAGAATCATACTTGGTGAGGACGTACACGGTTGCAGACGCTGCCGCCATCTGTCGAGCAAACAGATAAACAGTTAGGAATGATACTTCATTCTTGTTGAGGACACACGCGGTCGCCGACGCTGCCGCCATCTGTCGAGCAAACAGATAAACAGTTAGGAAGCATATGCAGCATATCGTGATCGTTGTTGTCATTCTTGTCGAGGACGCACACGGTCGCCGACGCTGCCGCCATCTGTCGTGCAAATAGATCAACAATACACTAAAACTCACAGCATCGCTACCGCCCCGCTCACATGCGCCCCACAAACGTCTACAGAGTGTTTGATAAACAGTTAGGAATCATACTTCATTCTTGTTGAGGACGCACACGGTCGCCGACGCTACCGCCATCTGTCGAGCAAACAGATAAACAGTTTCATTTATTTCGCACACGTCAGGAATTTCGCGCGACACCGGTGGCTGCCGTCAGGCGTCGCTCACCCGTACTGTTCCGACGACGGCGTCTCTCAATCCCTCGTTAACAATGAAGCTGTAGCGACTCTCTTCAAACAGCGGGTTGTTATCGTTCTGATCTAGCACGCGCACCGTCACCGACACAGATGACATCTGTCGGGAAAACAAATAAACAGTTAGAAATCATACTTCATTCTTGTTGAGGACGTACCCGGTCGCCGACGCTACCGCCATCTGTCGAGCAAACAGATAAACAGTTAGGAATCATACTTCATTCTTGTTGAGGACGTACACGGTCGCCGACGCTGCCGCCATCTGTCGAGCAAACATATAGGATGCGTATGCGCATGCGTGCCGACCCGACCAATTACAGCTCGTTTTTGTGTTACGATAAGTTGTGTACACTGAAGAATTAAACAATCAAAGTCTGGCATACGCATCCTATATCATGTATTTCGCAAGTCAGGAATTTCGCGCTACGCCGGGATTCGAACCCGCGTGCATGAATCACACGTGGTAATATCGTATAGACACAGAGCCGCCGGGATTCGAACCCGCGTGCATCAATTACACGTGGTAATATCGTATAGACACAGAGCTGCACCGGGATTCGAACCCGCGTGCATGAATTACACCTGGTAATATCGTATAGACACAGAGCTGCACCGGGATTCGAACTCGCATGCATCAATCACGTGGTACTAGACAGAGGGCACTTACGGAGAGTGCATACCTCCGCCAGCGACATAGCTCGTAGCAGCCGCTCGTTGCTGCTGCTCGCTCACATGTACACGCTCGCTGCTGGCTGCTGTTGACTGACTGGCCTGCTGCTGACTCGACGCGCTAATATCGATCGCGCAACAGGCGAACACACTAACACACTACACGAGAGCGATCCCATAACCTCCTCCACTCCGTGGGCGGAGATAAATATCGTATAGACACAGAGCCGCACCGGGATTCGAACCCGCGTGCATGAATTACACGTGGTAATATCGTATAGACACAGAGCCGCACCGGGATTCGAACCCCCGTCCATGAATCACACGTGGTAATATCGTATAGACACAGAGCTGCCGGGATTCGAACCCGCGTGCATGAATTACACGTGGTAATATCGTAGACACAGAGCCGCCGGGATTCGATTATAATGCAACTGCACGTTATATATACATATATATATATATATATATATATATATATAGAGAGAGAGAGAGAGAGAGAGAGAGAGAGTAGAT